ATTGAATTTATCTTAAGTATTTCTTGTGGCAGTTACGCGTAACTAACGGGGGTGGCCCGCGTGCAAGACCACATCAATGTAAACAGACATTATATACATCCAACAGCGACCCAATTTTAGTCATATCAGATCTGATTTTTTGGCGTTTTCACTTTTGAATGTTTTCCTTTTTCTAGGGTGGGTTAGAGACCTTCACATGCGTGACAAATATCTGAAAACTTTTTGCGTTTTACGGCGCACGGTTTCTGTATTTTTAGACCCTTTAATCTGTCTCAGGTTTCCAAGAGAGAAAAAGCTACTGCACGGCCTAAACGACAAAATCTTTATTCAGGATTTCGTTATATTTCGTGGACGAGACCGAATATCGATAATATTTTAACACTTTGGTAACTTTATCTTTATGGCCACTTTTGTTTCAAAAAGTGAAGAGAAAAAGAGCGTGATGTATTTCCATGACTGTTTCTATTTTTGTTTCTCACGGAAACCGTAAACATTTTAGCAAAGTACGCGTTCTTTGTTCGAAAGAAAACCGTTTAGACCGTTTACAATGTACAGTTATATTGCAGAAGAAATTTTTATAACTTTTAATATCTTGACGTTATGCTAATTTTGCAAATTATGATCTCTTTAGAGGCTTCATAGCATTGTGTCTGTTATAGGCGTATTATGCATTTACTGTGTTGCAGTTAATTATAATGACCTTTTGAAGTACACCATATTTTAAAGAGTGCGTCTGATGTGATGATTGTTGAATTCACTCCTTTTTTTGTTGTTGTTGTTTAGTTTTTGTTTTGAGTAGTTTGCCAAAATTTAGGAATGACAAAGATCTTATTTAAGGCTCAAATTTCGTTATGTTGAAGAAGATTCGTTGGAAATATTCAGTATAGTCCTTTGAGAATATGTGTTAAATGTCTGCATCAAACACACATTTAATACTTGACATTTATATTGATGTAACTTACCTAAGAACATGTTGAGAACATTTTCGGCCTAGAAATGTGCAGAAAGAGAAGCTACCCCTCATTTTGTCGTCGACCAGTGCACATGAATCACATTTGTTTTACTTGATTAATCCTTACCGCTTGTGTCAATAGTAAAAACTTGCCACGAAGTCGAATTTTTAACTTATAACTTTGTGGATGAAATCCTGTGTATCGACTTTTACTTCGTTTCATTTGTTTTACTGGATCTACCTCCAGTCAACTAGAATTTCACTTTTGGTCGGGAGTTAAAGTGTGAAAGGTAAAGTGATGCGTGATTGTCGTGCTCCATTGTCAGAATGAAAGTGTACGAAATATTTTATTTGCTTACCTTGCAGACCAATATAGGGATAGATTTCAAAAGATGTGGAAGTACAAATTGATCAGATTAGTCAAACATGAAAAGTTACCTTAAGACTGAATTTTTCTTTTACACATTTGTGTTTCGATAAGTGCTTCGCAAAGTTTAAAGTAAATCAGTCTTTTTTACTTGGAGAAGAAATTCCTTTGGAACAAGAGTAGTTAAGACTTCAAACTCACAGTTACTACCAAAGTTTCATTTTGCTAGACCTTCAATCATGTCTTTGAAAGGAAACCAAAAAAGAAAAGATGTTAGGTTGCTGCTGTTTTGCTCTTGAAGATAGTTCTAAACTTCGCGTTTGAAATTCGTGTTTATTATGCTGCAATAAGTTACGACATTGAAAGCTAGGGATTTACTTGGTAAACCTGCCTTAAGACATCAAAACAAAGATAAATAATGCTATTAAGAAAGATTTTGCTGATTAAAATACTGTTATAAATAACATGTAGTTTTAGAGACCCAGCTCTGGTTTAAAATGGCCAAACTTAGAGGCAGCTTTCCTCGATGATAAATCAAGTCAAAATTGATAGCGATCCATTGACGCAATATCTCCATCATTTCCGGTTGGATAACTCGTAATGTGGCTCGATGAATTTTCATTAGTTTGGATTAGGCAGCCTTCTTATTAAAAATTTACGTACCGCTGTAAATAGTTTAATGTCTGCAAATCACGAAAGGTGACAGGTAACTGTTGTAGGGAACAAGCTGGCATCAATTGGTTAGTGATATTAAAGGACGACTTTTGACAGTTCAATTCATAGGGTCTGGGGGATAGGGAGACACGGAGGCTGCCTCCGCCCCCTAGGGCTATTTGCACTCTCCTCAGATATTTTTACCAACAGAATTCAGAAATGTCAGAGCAGTGAGGCTTTTGTAACTTCTGAGATAGCCTCGGGTGAGCACGTTAGGTGTCTACTGTAGATTTTATGGGGAGCAGGGATGGCGCAGTGGTGAGAGCACTCGCCTTCCACCAATTTGGCCCGGGTTCGATTCGCGGACTCGACGTCATATGTGGGTTGAGTTTTTTGTTGGTTCTCTTCTCTGCTCCGAGAGGTTTTTCTCCGGGTACTCCGGTTTTCCCCTCTCCGCAAAAACCAACACTTCTAAATTCCAATTCGATCCGGAATGCTCGAGCGTTTAGTACATGAGCTCCTGGCTCGGGAGATTGGGCAACCACTCCTCACGCTATCGAGCTTAAATAAAATTGATTTGATTGATTTGATTTGATTTGACCGCAGCTTTGCAGCTAAACATAGCGTGATGATGCAGAAATATATCGTACTTAGTTTTTATCTCAGGTAATTTGTAATTTCCCTTTGTTTCAACTTCATTAGCATGCATTACCAAACCCAGAAACAAAAGACTAAAAAAATTTCCTGAGATAAATAATTGACTGCAATAAATACACCACTACTAAAGAATGTCTAGAGTTCACCTTGCCACCCCCCCCCCCTTTCAGGAGGGTGGGGTGGGGGCGGGCTTACGTAATGTCATATGGTGTATGTTTACTTTATCATGCTGAAGGTCATGACAGTAAAGGAGACGATTACCAAACAAACTCTCCTTTTTAACACGATAGGAAACGTACGAAGAACGCGGGGAGAATATGCGTTTTGATATACGGGCTTTTCAGTATTACACCAGTCGGCTCTTTCACAGGGTGCACATTGTGCAGACATAATAATTAGAAACAAAACTAAATAAACACAAAAATCAAACGCCTTATCAATATCCAAAATTTTCTAACTTTCTAAACAGTATACACTCGGCTTTCCATTCACTTTACATAGGTTTGTTTTCTCGGACTAGCTGTATATTCATCCTCGAATGTTGATTACTTTAATCCAAGCCTCCTTGGTTCCATTCACGACGTGATGAAAATCTGGCGCATTGTTCTTACTCGCTGTTCAATATTGTATCTTCTTAACAAACAGGAAAATGGAGATCCTTCTGGAATATAAAACGAGGCAGTAATAGCAACCGCCGAAGAATATTGCGTGTTATTTTCAGGCTCTATGACTCGTGTGTTTCGACCAATTGCGTGCCCCGAGCCTTGTCTGCTGGCAAAGTATATTAAGTGGTCACTTTAGATGATGGTTTTATATCGTGCTATTTACTGTGTCGTGCAGACTGCTTTGATTTCTTTGCTGCTGTTGTTGTTTGTACTTTTACTGGCTAACAAGTTGCAACTGTAATGAGTAAGAGCTTGTTATTGGAGGCTCTGAAGGTAAGGATGATGTTTAGGGAAAAGTGCATTGTCGTTTTTACAGCTAAAGCAGTGCACACGAGATTCTAAACGATTACATTCGCAAGCCTAATTAGGATGGATTTAATTCGATAACGACTTTTGGTGTAATTTACCGAATGCAACATGGCCATTACCTCAACTAAACTATGTTGATCAGTACATCCTACACATAGTAGGAAAATTTTTCAAAGAGAGGTTAACTTTTGTTTGGTCTTTCCTCAAGGTCATTTACGTGTTCTCGCCCTTGTATTGTTTTGATATTTAATCTCATAGATATGTTTGTCTATAAGCTATTCCGAAATCCTCTAGTCTTTTAAGTTTCTTACTTCAAGAAGTAAAACAAACTCTCTTCCTGCTTTAAGCGAAAAAATGCCTTGCTCTGCGCAGAAATTTATTTTGGGGATTGATTGTTCATGTCGCTCTTTCCCTGTTATTGATGCAGTAGTTGTACTGTTGTGATGGAAAGTGAAAATATTATCAACTCCTGTGCAAAAACTTTAACGTTAGTTTTCAAATACAGATTACAATACAGAGAATACATGATCTGTCTAGATCAGTTTTATTCAGTTAAATATTACCGGTTTAAGAATTCGTCCCTAGTCTCGACAGTTCGTATTAAGCTACCCATCATAAAAACTGAGACTTAAATTAACTTTGGACGTAAAATCTATTAAAGTTAATCTTGAAGTTGCCCCGGTGTCCAATTACAGTAAAAGCCGCCCCTTATAGGAAGTACAATCTTAATGCAGTTTGCAATCTCTTTACCCACTCGACGAATTCACTCTGGCTGGTCTTGCTGCCGTTGCGATGTATGACAAACAATTCCAAATTTAATTAAAAGTCCTCAGTATCTTTCAACGATATGGGTGGTCGGCATTTTAAAAAGTATGAAATTTTATATTTTTGATGCCAAGTCGCGGAAATACTACCTTGTTTAGAACCTGCATCTTGGCTTTCATGATGTGATATTAATCTGCCCGCATAGTTCGCGGCGAGTTCATTCAGTTATCACTGGGTTCCGGCAGGTAATCTTTTAAGGTATTTCATTGACTGTGTGTGTTGCGAGGAGTTGCGGTCGATACGGTTGAAAGCCACTGCGTAACTGCTTAGTTGAAAATGCCCAAGGTTTGTGGGTGAAATTCAGTTTATCTTCTTGTTCCTTTTTTGTATTTTCATCCTTTTTTCACAAATAGCTTTAACTAGCAGTTTGTCGTTTGCGACACGCAATTTTACGACGGAAATTCTGAGCATGTTTTCTCGGATACAAACGTTATTCAATCATATATTGAACAACATATCGTTATTTATTGTTGTAAACACTCGTTTGTAAAGCGCTGAGTGGGAAATAACAGCTATAACGGTTAAGCTCTTTTAGTTCATAAAAATGTTTGCCACATTGGCGGTTAAGTTCATGGCGGCAATATGTCTTACGCAATGTTGTTGTTTCCAGGCCTATTATCGGCAAGGAGTGGCCCTGCAGTGCCTGGGACGACATGCAGATGCCCTCGGAGCTTTCGCTTCTGCGCTTGCGCAGGATGATAAGAGTCCTCAACTGCTGAACTCCTTGACTGAGGCCGCGATGAAGTCTCCCCTTAGAGGTAAATATTTTAGTAATATGCAATTTTTTATGGTTAGTCTTTTCGTTGGATTAACAGTTAAAACGGATGTCGTAATTTTATCAAGTGTTCTTTTCAGATTTGTGTTGTACATCATTTCATAGAAACAAGTTGTGCAATTTTTATTTTATTCTATAACTGTTAACCAAACCTGACACAATAATCGGACAATGCCCAGCTGTTCTGACTGTTTAAGATTCCAATTTGTGACCTTTTAACTGAGAACAGTCTTCGAGCAGTGGGGTTTTCTGCATTTTAGTTTGCGGTCAAAATAAGGCTATAAAAATGGTCAGGTCGTTGAAGCGGAACTTAGATGGTATTAATAAAATTCTGCTTAGAGCAGGTTTATGGTAGACCAATCCTTACGCCTAAATATTCACTGAATGCTGTCAACAGTTGCAATACGGCTTGCTTCCCAGATCAGTAAAACATTTACCCAATTAGAACACATCTGAAGTTCCACTGGTCCCTTAAAAATCGACACTCCTATCTAAGTTACTTATATAGCGGGACTGCACGCATAAACAGCTCAAGTGGTTGATATTAGCTAAAGACATTCATTCTTTCATCGCAATTTGAACATTACAGAATATTACACACTTGAACTATGACACGGGCTGAGCCGCAAAAAAGGTTTAAAGATTCAAGCAGATATAAATAACTTAACCTTGTCCTCTTGAATATCGAGCGCATAGCGTAAGTGCGTTTGATTTTGCCGCCAAGTCAAGAGTTCTCTAACATCTGCTTTTACGATAAAACATTTCAATGCGAGTTACCTGTCATGGATGCTTCTCTTTTGATCGATTCAAGTTTCAAATTGTGTGAGAGTCTGTTCAGAACTCTAGTAGGCTGTCACTCTCTGAACTTCGAGGTTGGCCTGCCCACTCGACTGACTAGAAAGGGACTGCTAGTACAGTGCTTCTTTGGTCTTGGGTCTACTAAATGTTGAGTGTGTGCATAGGAAAAGCAACCCGACAAACTGGTCTTTGAACAGTATATTATGATTAAAGCACAGAAGTCAGAAGAAAGATATGCTCCAGTTCTTGCGGGTATTAAGAGCCTGTGACTTGATGGTGGAGTGGTAACGTCAAGTTCAGATTACGTTGTTATCAGTTTACTTACTCGAATAAAACCTCATTACAGCATTTTGCTGTAAACAGTTCATTCTGATTTAATTATTAAGAACACGGATTTGGGACTTTTTGTGGTTCTTGCGGGCAGAGAGGTTATCACAAATTTCAGTTCGAGTGGCCACGGTACAAGCCTATTGGTTCTTATAACTGTTTCTGCGGCGTTTTTGTTGAGAGAAAAAATTATAAGCTAATTACTGTTATTTTTACTGATTTTTTTTCAGCTACTTTAGAGCCAATCTACAACCAGCTAAACAAAATGAAACTTGACAAGAGCCCATTTGTGATGATATCAGTTATAGGACAGGAGCTGTTATCGGTGGGTCACTTAACAGCGGCAGTAGATTGCCTTGAAGCGGCTTTGAAAGTCGGCACATGCGGACTACGTCTCCGGGGTTCTGTTATATCGGCTTTGAGTACAGCTTACTGGAAAATTGGAAATGTAAAGAAGGCCATGGAATACATGAAGCAAGATCTAGAAACTGCTCAGTCACTGAACGATAAAGCGGGCGAGTGTCGCGCGCTCGGTAACCTGGGAGGCGCCTATTATTCTCAGCGCATGTACAAGGAGGCACTTGAGCATCAGAAAAGTCAACTGGCGATTGCTATGAAAGCGAAAGACCGAAAGACCTCGGCCACGGCACTGAGCTCTTTGGGTCATACTTATGTGTCAATATCTGATTATTCCAACGCCCTTGCGAGCCATAAACAGTCATGTCACATTTATAAGGAGTTGAAAGACAAGCAAGCGGAAGCTAGAGAACTCGGAAACATTGGCGCTGTCCATGTACTGCTCTCGGATTATGACAACGCCATCAAATGCCATCAAGAACATTTGAAAATTGCTGTTGAGTTAGGAGACAAGACCGAGGAAGGCCGGGCGTATAGTAACTTAGGAAGTGCGTTCCATTACAAAAGAGACTTCGATAAAGCGATCCAGTTCCATCGGCAAGTACTGGATGTTGCGAAAAAGACCAAAGATTCTTTTATGGAGGCGCGTGCATACGCAGGTCTTGGGCATGCGCTGAGATGTAAGGGTGACATAGAGCAGGCAAAGACCTTTCATGAGTACCAACTGGCTTTATCAATTAAACTTGGGGATCGCGCCACCGAGGGGCGAGCATTATCGAATCTAGGAATTATTTTTCAGCAGAAGGGGCTTTACGGGCAAGCCTTGAAACTGCATAAAAGACACCTGGCCATTTGTAAAGAGTTACAAGATCGAGCGGGCCAGGGCCGAGCTTATGGCAATATGGGCTGTGCGTACAGCGCCTGCGCGCGGTATGATCAAGCGATTAAATTTCACAAACAAGAACTAGTGATTTCCAAAGAGGTAAATGATCGACCTTCGGAGGCGTGCACACAAGGGAATCTGGCAGTTGCTTATCAGGCCATTGGAAGCCTTGATAAATCACTAAAACATTACCAGCAGCATTTAGTCATCTCACAAGAACTGGGCGATCAATCAACCGAGGCCATCGCGCTGAGTAACCTGGGAAACTTTTACAGCTCTTGCGGGAATTTTTCCAAGGCCATTTCTTATTACGAGAACTATTTATCTATCTGCCGACATTTGCGGGATCGAGCGGGAGAATGCAAAGCCTGCCACAATCTTGGGTTTGCTCATTACTCGCTCGGGAACCATCTGGACGCTGTACCGTATTACGAGCGGAATGTTGCCATTGCAAAAGATCTGGAGGATAAACCGAGTTTAGGTCGGGCTTATTGTAATCTCGGACTTGTTTACAGCGCTCTAGGCAAACAGGATAAAGCATTGGAATGCCAGAAAGAGTTCTTAACTGTCTCCCAGGAAGCGATGAACGTTCAAGGGGAGTTTAAAGCTTGCGGCAACATCGGGGATATCTATGTTACGTTAGGAAACACCAATCAAGGAATCCGATTTTTCCAGGAACAACTGCAAGTCGCGAAAAAGGCGCAAGACACTTCGCTTGAGAGTGACGCTTATGGCGCGTTAGGTAGCGCGTACAAGACTGCGGGCGAGTTTGAAAAGGCGTTGTCGTGTTTCAAGACGGAATTGGATTTGAGAAGGAGTGAAAAAGACACTCTAGGCGTTTGCAAGGCGTTGAGTAATCTTGGAGGTGTTTACACGAGCATGCAGAAGTACAACGATGCTTACAATTGTTACTCTGAACAACTCGGCCTCGCTATTGAACTAGACGATTGCGTTTTGCAAGCGCAGGCTTACGGCAATCTAGGTATCACTAAAATGAACTGTGAGGACTATCAGGATGCATTGGGCTTTTTCGAACAGCAGATCGCAACGTTAGAACAAGTGGCTAGTGCAGTGCTGGAAAGGGGTCAAGCATACGGGAACTTAGGCGAATGTTATCACCTGTTGGGTGATCACGAAGAGGCCGTTAAATGCTATGAGAAATACTTAGCCGCTGGACAGCAGCTGGATAGTGTGATTGACCAGGACAAAGCATATCGCGGGCTTGGAAACGCACACAGAACCATGGGAAATCTCCAACAAGCTCTAGTATGTTTTGAGAAGAGGCTGGTCGTAGCGCACGAGCTTACTGATTTCCGCTCGAAGGGAACTGCGTATTGCGAGCTCGGAAATATGCACAAGGTACTGGGTAACTACGAACAAGCCCTGGCTTGCTTTGAGCAGCAGCTTTCCTTAGCAAGGGATTGTAATGATCCAGTTAATGAAGGTGATGCTTTGTGTGGCCTGGGACTGGTAAATCAGAAGATGGGCGACTACGAGAAAGCGCTCAAGCTCCACGAAGAAGAAATAGCAATCGCTGATAAACTGAAAAATGCGGGCCGGCGTGGCCGAGCTTCGTTTCATCTCGGAGTGACGCATGAGATTCTCGGAAATTATGAACGGGCAGTAGTCTTTCAAGAACAACATCTCAACATCGCCTCACAAATGAACGATGAGGCCGCCAAAGCGCAGGCCTACAGTTCATTGGGAAGAACGCACCACGAGCTTGGCAACTATTCCCAAGCCATCGCTTACCTCAAGCAGGGCCTCGTTATCGTGCAGACTCTTGGAAGGACTGAGGATGAGGCGCGAATACGTCATCGGTTGGGTTTGTCGCACCTGGCTGATAATCAGCTGGAGGCATCGCAGGGTCATCTCTTCTATGCTGCGGAATTATTGGAAAAGCTTCGTGAGGAAGGTATTCACAGTGGCGAATATAAGCTTTCCTTGTACGAACTACAGGCAGCGACCTATCAGGTTTTACAGCGTGTTCTAGTGACAATGGGCAACCACCAAGACGCTTTAGCAGTCGCTGAGCGCAGTCGGACACGAGACTTTATCGATTTACTCCAGGAGCGACAAGGAAGTAATCGATCAGCGAACGGCATATCAAAGTTTTTGGAAAATCCTTTGACCACACCAGAACAGATTGCGGATTTCGTGAGAAGCCAAAGAGCGACTGTATTGTACTATTCCATTGCCGCTGGACACTTGTACAGTTGGCTTATCACCCCAAGAAAAGGCATTGTCAAGTTCCATGATTCGCTTCTGTCGGATGGAGACCATGATAATGAAATCACAGTGGATTTGGATCAGAGTAGCAGTGCTGCGTACTCACACACCTCCACTCTATTGGACTCTTACATTACTCAAGTCAGAGAGGCCCTGGGGGTTGAACCACATTTGAATTTGACCCGTGCAACCAGCATATCTGAGAGTGAAGCGGAAGACGCCTGGGAACGTGAGAGTCTACTCAGCGCTGGAACAAGCCCACTGTCCTACATGTCAGCGGATGACGACACTATCAGCGTGTCGTCACTGTCGCTTGGGCAGGCAAGTTTTCGCTCGACTCCGAGAAGCAACGGTTTGTCAAAAAAGAATGTGCGAAAGTTAAACGGTGTACGAACGAGTAGCAAGAAACTTGGCTGGACTGGTAAGCCTCCCCTTCGAGCTTTGTACGAGCTGTTAATTGCGCCCATGGAAGACGCATTGCCGGCCTCTTCATATTTCGATGGAGACGATTCCGAGCTTGCTTTAGTTCTTCAGGGGGACCTATACCTTGTCCCATTCCCTGTGTTAAAGGGAAGTCTTTCCAAGGAGTATCTGTTCCGACGATTTCGTCTAATCGTTGTTCCTTCACTACAGTCTCTTGCTATTAACAGCAAAGCTCTGATGTCAAGGAAGACGGGTCTGGATACAACTTCAGTTATGGTGATCGGAAACCCGAAGGTCCCTGCAACTTTTGGTCAGTGGGAGTCGAACCCGAGCGCCGAGCACGAAGCTAAGATCGTGGCCGAACTTTTCAGCACTAAACCTTTGATTGGCAATATCGCAACGAAGAGTGAAGTTGTCCGGAAATTACCTAAGGCGGAGTGCGTGCATTTTGCCACCCATGTCTCATGGAAGCTATCTTCCCTTATTCTAGCTCCTCAGAATTCCGATGATAAATTCGCATCCCCAGCAGGATCACCTGAGAGGGCAAGTCTGGACTTTCTCGGTGACATGAGCCCTGATGAAGCACCTGCTCTATCCGAGTTTCTTCTTACAGCATCCGACATCTTGGACCAGAAATTATCTGCTAAGCTCGTAGTTATTGGCGCTGCTCACAACCATTCATCGCGTAATCGTATAACCTCGGATGGAGTGATCGGACTGACGAGGTCGTTTTTGTCGGCGGGTGCACAGTGTGTTTTGGTATCCCTGTGGCCTGTACCTGATCTGGCGTGCAAATTGTTACTCAAGGCGTTTTACGGAGGGCTTCTGCAGGGAATGCTAGCTAGTCAAGCCCTCTGCCAAGCCATGCAAGTTGTCCAGGGAACCAAACAGTTTTCCCACCCATCCAACTGGGCGGGGTTTATTCTGGTTGGTGGTGACAGCGCTCTTACAAACAAGGAAGCTTTGATGAGTAGCGCCATCTCTCAACTGTTGAACAACCCTGGGAATTGCAGAGACGCTCTCAAGGTCCTCGTGCATCTGGTAAGATATAGTATGCAGTCTAGTGATTTTGCGTAAATTGATTAACTCTCAACCTGTATAGTGGGCAGTTAGAAGGGAAAGAGGTGAGAAAAAGAGAGAATGTTCACCCGTCCACCAACGTGCAGGAAGAAACCTTGACACGCAAAACACGAGAAAATTGCTTTTTTTTCTCCCTTTCGTTTTTGGTGGCTTTCACGGAGCAATTTCTCGTACTTTAAAGGCGAACAGGTGCGTCTGCTTTGTCTAAGTTTTTGTTCATATTTTTTTGTTGATAAAGCCTTGACTCAATTATTATCTTTCACCTTTATTGTATTTGTGCCATTAGAGTTCAAAAGTATACTTCGTGCAAATTCATGTTTTTAGGTCGACAAAGCTCAACAACGCATTCGTCAAGGACAGCGGTCGTCCATGTACACAGCAGACGCTAGTATCAACGCTAAAGTCAAAGGAGCCAGTGGATGGCGTGAGCTGCTTAAACTCCTTGGTTTCCGGTTTCAGAAGGCATCCAATGGAATTCCAGACTCAGTTTTCTTTCCGTCTGTCGCCAGTGGAGTAGGAGATAAGCTGGCTGATGCCAGTAATCATCTGCATGCCTTATTGGGTAAGGAGGGCTTATTAACAGAGGGGCTTATATCCGAGGGGGGCTTATAACGGGAAATATGCTGTAAACTGCCGCTTATAACCCCTGGGCTTATACATCTTCGTAAGGGGTTTTAGGAGGGCTTATTAACAGAGGGGCTTATATCCGACGGGGGCTTATAACGGGAAATATGCTGTAAACTGTTGCTTATAAGCCCTGGGTTGTACATCTTCGTAAGGGGTTTTAGGAGGGCTTATATCCGAGGGGGCTAATAATGACCGGAATAGAAAAAGCGCTTCGAAACAAGCTTCAGTCTAACCTCTCCTTACGGACACCTCTATAATACGGACACCTCTCTATTACGGACAGTTCGTTTGGTCCCAGAAATGCAAAAATCATACATTCCCTACCTCTATAATACGGACACCTCTGTAAAGCAGACACTTGGTTCTGTCCCTTTGGTGTCCGTATTAAAGAGGTTTGACTGTATAGCAGTGCTGATCACAATACGTTTTGTATTTTGCACTAAACTTAACCCTAAGCTTCAAAACGTCAACGCAACGGCCACCTTAGGGACAGAAGAAAGTAGCCATTGTAAAGATGTTTCAAACGAGAATCAATGTATGGACTGTCCACCAAAAAAGGGGTCGTTGTAGAGAGGTGGCCATTAGTAGAGGTTCGACTGTAAATCAAATTCATTGCAAGGGTGGCTTATATCCGGGGGGGACTTGTCATCAGATGTATTTTTTTTGTATTTACAGTTAGATGGGCCGACAACTAGGGGGAGAGGGAGGGGGTTATAGGCGTCAGTTTACGGTATAAGGATTTGTTAGAATGGGTGTTAGATTGTGATCTCTCGATCCTCGGGGTGTCTTGATAAGCTGACAGCTGTTCACCAACGGGAGGTGGATGTTTCGTTTACCCTTGATACTATTCATGTTACAATCCCCCAAACGCTTTTTTAATAAATTGAAAAGCTAGGTAAAATAACTGAAAGCGATGTCCGAGTCCTATCACAAGACTGTTTAGGTAACGTTCCTATAACGTGTATATATAGTCGTGATTTCGTAAGAATAGCAAAGAAGGTGTTGTCGTAAGAGTGATTATTGAAAATTCTGCTTGTAATTTTCGGATTATCTTAGCGATCAGAAATTCATGTTTTCCTGAATGTGCATCGAGGCTTCCGAAATTGTTTTGGACTTTGTTTTGAAGCTTTCTACAAGATTTGTCGTCAGCTACAGGGTCCTTGTAGTTAAAGCCATAAAAATGATGAACATTGATGTGCGTGCAACTCAACAAGTAAATCAAGCACTAAATTTTACCACTTGTTTGGGACTCGTCGTTTTGTCTCGCCATTGGGTACCTTGTTAGTTATTTTGTTTATTTATTTATTTATTTATTTTGTAATCGTTTGTAATCCGTTAATCAGTTTAATTTTATTGCTTTCATCCAAAACAAATAAAGTGGAAAGCTGTTTATCTCATCAGATTTATTATCAAAGTACTTTTTCCGACGTTTTAGTCATTGGAATTGTCTGGTTTTTTTTATCTTGGATGGGTGAGCACAAACTTTGGTCAGTCTGAAAGATTAAGAAGTTTGAATTAATTTGTTGATAAGTTGCTGCACTGGAGTAAAACAAATACAACGGCAACTTCGTCTTGATTGCGGCACTTGAAAGGTGGAGTTGATAAGATTAAGATTCCCAAATGACGGTATTATCCACTTTTTTGAGTCGGATTTTTTTCTTAGTGAGCAGTCTAGACTGAAGAAGGAAAACAGCGGTCTAATCTTATAGAAATCTGATAAACATCAGTGAGAAGATGCCTTACTAATTATAGCGTCGACCATAACAGTGAAAAGTACTTTCTTTGACCGGTTTATGAGTTATGAAAATTAGCTTTAACAAGTTGTTTTAAGATGTTTAAGACTCAAGCTTGTTTCCTTGAAAATGAAAGCCTCGTATTTAGGTAAAACCGTAGTGAATCCGGTCCGTGATTGTAACAGTTTGGTTGATTCCTATGTCAAGCAGTTGGTTATTATTAAGCTATCAGGATTTGTAGTCACCGAAGGGGGCGTTGAATGCGGGTAGAGAGGGGTGGGGGAGGAACGGAAAGAGGGAGGGAGACTGGAAATAGACAGAAAAAGGGAGCTCCATCTCCTCTTTTCAGTGATTTTGTTACAAGAAGTTATGCTGAGTCCTGGGACTCATCTTGTGAAAAATCATGAGTCCCAGTCCAGAGCGATTGAGTCCCAGCTCAAAAACACGAGCACCCGCGGTCTTATGAGTCTTTTTTATTGGCACAACCAAGTGAAACACTATTAAAATATAGAGCTGGTCTGTCTTCTGTTGGTTAGTTGTCTGTTACCATTCTTTAAGATAGTCAACTGGTGCTAAGGATGTTCATTCTTTTTTTACTTCAGGTCTCAGTCCTACAACTCTTCAAGCTCTGGCCAAACTCGTCAACGCGCGTACCGTTAATACTGCACTTGTATCGCTGGTAAGCCTGCGCAATATTTACATAACAAGTTCACTCAGTAATCCTCACTCAGTTAACTGAACCAGTTTATTGAGACCCCGAGAACGATACCCCTTTGCATGAAAGAATTAACAAAATAACGTGTTTCTTCTTCTTCTTTTTTCCTTACAGTTCAGTCAGGTTCTGTCCTGTTTCACTCAAGGAATGAACAATGTACAGGTTCCTTTGAATCTCAAGTTATGGCGCACAGTGGGCTGTCACGAGCTACTTGCATCTCTTGGCTTTGATCTGATCGGTGTTGGAAAAGAAGAGGTCATGTTAAGATCAGGCAAAGCCAACAGCAGGCGTGCTATACAGTGCACAGTACAGGCCCTCTGTGCTCTCACGGGTGAGTGTGTTACATCTCATATTTGACTTCAGGTTAATTTTGTTTCCTAGCGCTATGAGACAAAGGAAATTGAGAATCAATTGAGATTAAAAAATTTTAACTTGAAATCAAATTTGACTTAAAACAAGTATACTTGTACAGGGAAGATATGTACCTCAGGAAATCTATCAGGAAACCATTGACTTAATTGCGAAGAGTTAACTTCAACTGAGTGACTTTTCGTACGATTTAATAAGTCGGGTAGACCTGAGGATTGAAATGCAGTTTTTCGTTCGATCTTCTTGTCTTTTCAGAGGGGAAAGTTTGAGACGGGAAACTTGCCTTTAATCGGATTCATATTACCCGAGCTTTTAGTCATGAATTTCGGTTAGAAGACGGTTTCCCGTCTATAAATACAAAATTGCTAAATGAACATCCCCCTCCGCAGAAAAGTACTATTGTTAGCTTTACTGATACACAGCTGACTGAACTGCGTCAGTGGTCAAAAGTTCGGTTCATCTTGACTTACGGGGCAAGCATTCACTTACCCAAATGTTGAACAACCTACAATGTAGTACATAGTACAACACCTCATCTACTATAGTTGTCACTTGAATGATGTTACTGAAGAATTTTATCCACTGGGTCAAAATTAGAATTACTTTGTCTCTCATGAGAAATGGAATCACGGCAAATGTCGCGTGGAGCTTTATACTAGCTTTCACTTGAATGGTCTTATTTTTAGGGTGTTATCCACAGTCTCTAGAAGTTCCTTAGTAGAGTAGGCTTGTAGTTAACATCTGTACGAATTGGCACTTTAAATTTTTTCAACAAGTTAAGAGAAGAATGGGTTTTTTGTTTGACGTGAACTCATCGACTTCTTTTTTGTTGCAGATTCAGAGAATCCAGCCGAAAAGGAGGACCCGACATTTAAACTTGCCAAAGTTCATTCCGCTTCCACTGTAATCTCCAACTTGTCCCTTATTTCAGCCTCAATCGAATCCGATCTTGATTCTAAAGTTGGCGGTTCAAATCCTGACATCTCTAGTATAGGGGGCTCAAGCATGAGGGCTAAAAGCAGCATCATCGCAAGGCCCGTTAAATCTGAAGCCCAACCGTCAAACTACTCCAGCCGCCCAGTGGCAACTGCGGAACCCGAGCGAAGAAATATGCGAGCCCTTTCTAAGTCACAAGTACTGCCTGTAAATTCAAAGAAACACTCAGAATCTGTACATAAGTACGCGAGCTTCAATGGCGATATTCCTAGTAACAAGAGACAGCCTTCGTCGTCTTCGGTTACCGATCATTCTCGGACCTCTTCGATCCCCGATCCGTCGGACTCTGATATTGATAGTTACTCGGATATTGTCGGTCAACAGTCGTGGAAGGACACTGTAATTAGTAATAAAGGTGTTGATCTTTCCGGGGAGAGCTCTCAGCGCAACACTAAACAGAGAGTTGCAAATGTTGTACCTACCTCGTGGGCATCAAGTTCGGCCAATCCTGCGGGCAGCGTGATTTCTTTCGGTGGACAACAGCGTAGAGTCATTGAAGATCAGGCAAGAACTACAAAACAGAACTCGAAAAGTTACGATTCTCTGACTAACGGAACTAGACAGTCTGCACCCAATGTTTATGCTGTCAGTGGGAAGGAATCGCCTCGCGAGAATGGCACGTTTCGTGGGCGGGCCCAGAGGAGAACCAGAAGTGAGAGCCAAGACCTTGTCCTCCAAAATGGTCCTCGGGCAACTGCGTATGGTCGGTCCAAGTCCATAACGAGACAAAGGGGGAATGGGTCGAGCGACGAGGAGGAATCAGAGCAACCAAGAAATACAAGATGGAAAGGCAGTGCTACCGACTTGAGAGCGAATCGTGTTATAATTGGAGCTTATAGAACTAATCAACCAGAACTCTTAAGAGTCTCGAGTGTGGATTCGCCTGCTGAGGCCCAGAAGGCTTCAGGTAATAGAATTACACCTACGCGAAACGGTGAATTTAGGTCAAATCACGCTGATCAACTTGCAGCAGAAATGCAACAAGGGAGGAAAAATTCTCTGAGTGGGAGAAAGCAGTCGTTCCCGAAGTTTCGCGACGATTCCCAGTCGTCTCAAGATAGCACGGACTACGAGTCACGACAAACTGCGGCGGAGCAAGCAGCGGTTGCCCTAATGACCAATCAGGCGACTCGTGTGCCGACGCAGTCACTGAATGACGCACGTCATTCCCAGCGGCCGGTTGAGATGGTATCCATGGGAACAGAGAATAGAAAACTTAGGAGGGAGCATCTTGCTAATCTAGCTCATCTCCAGTCCTCGTCCTGTTAGCACGGCCTGGTGAGTGTAATTTTTTTTCTCAGTTTCCTTTCATTTCTAAATACCTCAATGTAAGACCAAGGATCGGGTTGTATACAGTCAACTCTCTCTTAACGGACACCTCTCTAAGACGGACACCCGGTGTTGGTCCCTGCCGATTTTCAGTCATTTTACCGTAACTATTCTCTCTATTAGACGGACACCTCGCTAAGACGGACACCTGGTGTTGATCCCCGCCGTTTTTCAGTCATTTTACTGTAACTATTCTCTCTATTAGACGGACACCTCTCTAAGACAGACACCTGGTGTTGGTCCTTGCCGATTTTCGGTCATTTTACTGTAACTATTCTCACTATAAGACGGACACTCGTCTAAGACAGACACCTGGTGTTGGTCCTTGCCGATTTTCGGTCATTTTACTGTAACTATTCTCACTATAAGATGGACACCTCTCTAAGACGGACAACGGACACTTTTGAAACCGTCAACTGACACTTGAGAAGTGCTTTATGCAGTGAAAAATACCTCAAAAAGGAAATGTGAGGTGCTCTACATGACAGAAAATTGCAAAAGTTTGATTATTTTGTATTCCTGCTCCATTTCGCAGAGTATACACTGTTACGCTTTTAGACCAAGAAGCCGTGAACAGTTGCTTTATGAATGAACGGTTGATTTCACGATGAGAAAATGATTCCACTTTGCTGCTAGAATATTCAAGTTTTACCTGTTTTGTACAAGTTAAACAGATGTCTTTTCATTACGAATGGGTTGAGCGTTAGTTTCTTAAAATTGCTTGCGTCATGTTACCTTGACTCTCTATAAGCCGAAACCTTTCTAAGACGGACAGTCAGGGCCGGTCCGGAAGGTGTCTTAGTCTTAGAGAGACTTGACCGTATGTATCAGTGCAGTGACTTGAAGAGTTTGAGTCACGTTTATTGTGAATTTGGCAAAGATTCAGAACGAAACCTCCACTCGGACAAAGCCTTCATAACAGATTTCTTTAGTAGCTTCTGTGAGTATGTGTCTAGAATTTTAAGATGCACATTCTGAGAAAAGTGATTGAAAGAACTACAGCATCCCTTTTAATAGCAAAAAGTAAACTGGTTTCTAAATTACAAGCACATAAAACTGAAAGCAAGCGTAACATCTTCTCTATATTTATTTTGCAGATGTTTTGAACCCACTTGGCTGGCGTATTTTGATTCGGCAGAGACTGAATTTTAAGCCTTGCGTGTTTTTAGAATGAATACAAAATATTTTTGTACCTATGGACCACATTGGTTCCTTGGCAGAAGTACTTTAGGAAAAATAATAATTATCTTGAAGGAATTCGTTCAATATTTTTCTTAAAAAAGGACTCGCTAGTACGTCGAGTTTACTTTTTTATCAGCCTTGGCTGATAGATGGTGAACTGAATTACAGACCTCTACCCGGAGTAGTCTCTCATTTTCCCCATGGTACGAAGCGAAAACCGCGAGTACGCGTGAGGAACATGAGACGCGATGTTTGCGCGTTCTCGCGTATTTCGCTAGCTATAATCTCCCTGAGGAAAATGGAGAACTACTCTTAGTCTAAGAAATTCTCAGCGTTTATGATGTTTAACCCTTTCACTGCTTGGACAGACTAAAATCTAAATATTATAGCTAAGGGGCTTCTGTTGGCTTTAAAGTGAGTAGAAGCAGCTTCAAGGCCCAATAAGTGGATCCTTAGGAAAGTGCTACTACGTACAGCTTTTATTTGAAATCAGTCAAGGGTATAGGTCGGCTACTGGTCATAGGGCAGCGTTATTCACAGACCTGCAAGTTAGAAATCAGATTATTCAACATGCAAACCAGCAACACCAGTGCTAAATTTACTCTTATACCAAATGCCACTTTTAAGAACTTTGCCCAGGCTTAAAAGAATGGTGTAATTAAGATCACATTTTATTACTTTTTTAACTACCGTACTTAAAATATGAACCACACCATACAACGACGTCAACATGGCCATATATAAAGAAGTACCATTCATTGACTTTAATATGAAGTGTTTGTGACCACTTTAAGACACTCTGTTACCTAAACGGCTCAACGTGTATTGCAGTGAAAGGGTTAATTTTCCGTTCGATCAAATTCTTGAAAACTCACCTTAATGAGCGCGAATTTCTGGGAGATTTTTCAGTTGTGATATCTTTCATTGTGTCTGGCTTCTTCTTGATAGACCTGGCTGTCTTTTTCACTATCAATCATAGTCGTTCGTGTTAGGTATGTGTACTAAAAAAGAGTTTAACATCGTTCCATTCTGACAATTTATGACACTTTCCTAGTGAAATACGTTCTTTGCGGAATTATGCTTGCTTGCAGCCATCTGGGTTTGCAACGAGAATTATTTGTGAATATTCGACTTACAAGTTAAAAGACAGTCAACTTCCATGTGCTATCCTTTGTCTATGTTCTGTTGCAACTTAGGGTGCTTACTAGCCTGCGAGCAAGCTCTCTATTTTGGGGAGTCACGAGAAGTCACGCGAGAGGAGCGAGTGCGTGGGGCGCCCGGCTCGCTTCACTCGCCCAAATAGAAGAGCTTGCTAGCAGACTAGGTGCTCACCTAAAGCCAGAACTGGCTGGTCATGCCGGTCATTTTAAAAATGGAATAGGCCTGCAGCACTCTCGTCAGTTTTCGCTGAAACCTATCACTGTCGTGAATAATGTTTAGAAATACTGATCTGCCTGGACTGTCGTGATTAATACTGAAATTCTTTTTACAACCAAACAAGTCTGGCCGGCCGGCAGGCGCTCCAAGTTCCCAGGGTTCGCGTGCAGGACATGGAAAAGAACCTGGAAGTTAACTTTGTATTGTAGTGGGAGTCCAGCTCGAAAATTGAAGGAAAGTTGGATAAAAGTCGGGTTTGCTTGGGCAGGAAACGAAAATACATACCACAAGAAAAATATCGCGGGGTATATCTCTTTCCTGCCATGAATTGCATTTCTTTTTATAACATTAGCCTCCCCGCAGACGTCCGTTGGGGTTCGTTTGTTGTCACGCATTCATTTCTCCCCGTGGGGAGAAATGAATGCGTGACAACAAACGAACCCCAACGGACGTCTGCGGGGAGGCTATCATAACATGGGCTACTATCTTTTATCTTCTGTTTAAGAATCCTGACTGACCTCTGATAAATAGTATCATATGGTGTCGCATGGAGTGTTTATAGTAAACATAATTAAATCCATCATTACATTTATTGACAAATTAAAGTTCGCAACGGTATCGTTCAACAGTAAACTATTGTCATTGTTTTTCATCGAAGTTAGAAAGTATTAAGCCTGAGAAAACAGCAGACATATCGCGAGGCCAGCACTGGTTTCCCCGCGAAATGACGTCTGAGAAACGAGCGCATTTCCGTACTGATGACGCCTCACTACCCAGATCTGGGTCGTCCTTTTGATTGGTCGTGCCACGTAAGAAATTTGCTTCAACCAATCAGAAGCACTACCTAGATCTGGGTAGTGACGCTTCATCAGTATGGAATTTCTGCGCTCGTTTCTCAGACGTCATTTCGCAGTGAAACCAGTGGTAGCGTCGCGATATGTCGGCTGTTTTCTCAGGCTATGAAAGTATTGTGCCACAAGGAAAATCCATTTTCACCGCCAGCGTTGTTCGTTGTTGATTAGTACATTTAATGAAATCAGTGCACTTGAATGAATTCCGCTTTAGTGTGTATGGGGTATTTTTAAGTGCTATTTATTAAGTTTTATAGTTCAAATTATGTACATAGAACTTTGTAATTTTAAATTTCATAAAATTGGAGGCTTATAATGTGTATCTATTTAATGGCCAGACACGAGAAAACGTTGTACATATTTCACCTCCTGGAAAGTATTTTTATTCTAATCAATTAAAGCTCAAGTTTTCTTAAATGATTGCGTCTTTGATTTGTCACTGCTAAACAGAATCATTCCAGGAAGTGATCGGCGTTTGGTGTCTTATTAAGGTTGTACAGTACTCGAACAAAGTACTCCTTTTGATACCTGCTAGGCAGGCTACGGATCTCCGTATATCCGGAACTTTTAACTTTACACCGCCTTGTATTTGTTTCGCCATCCTGTGTTGTCTGAGAAGGGTAAGGTCTCTGTTCAGATTCTCATCTCAACTTGAATCGTTCAGTGAGCAGCACTGCCATCTTGTCCCCATGGCCATCTTGAATAAGACGAGGATTGAAGCACGCTAATTAGGGATTTTCTCGTCTCCCAATATTGTTTCAATCATGAATGACCCTACATGGGCTAAATTGCAGAGCTTGGATAAGGCACAAACTTGTCAATGTAATATTAGGGCCATTTATACGAGGGAAAATAAGACGCGTCTTACATTAGACGCGTCCTAGGTAAGACGCAAACTATCCCGTATAAACGGCACATTAAGACGCGACTTAGCAAAGACGCGTCTTATCTAAGAACAGGTGTTGGGGGCAGTTCTTCGATAAGTTGCGTCTTAGCTAAATTTCAAACGAAATGTGCCGTTTATACGGGATAGTTTGAGTCTTATTTAGGAACCCCGGTTGCGTAGGAGTTGCTTGTAAGGTCTCTCCTTTCCTGATTGATCACAGAAAACAATGATATGTCATTCTTTCCATTGTTTCAGTATTGTTCGGGGCCTGTCAGGGATAGGCACCATTGGTGACTTCTCTTCCGAGCAGCTGCTACATGACGCTTCCTAAGTAAGACAGACGCGTTTTATTTTTCCTCGTTTAAACGGCCTTATTGTGTCGCTGTAGCAATACGTTTGAAGCTAACCTAATAAAAGGATGGTTCTAAGGCCCTCTCTCATACTCATTTAGCAACCAGTGATAAACAAAGGACGATCGACGCCTTCCTCAAGAGTATCTCTAAGGAAGGTGAGATGACAAAGGTTTTTTTCAGTCGACTTGTCACTGGTTCTTCCTATTCGAAGTTAATTCTTGTGCTATTTTTAAAATTTCCAATCACTTTGACTTGGGTAATATGCCCTCAAGCATGGCTTTCGCGGGAGTACGAAGAGTCAACCTCATGGTCCCCTCCCTTCCCTCTTTGAGAAAGGAAGAGAGAGGATCCTGGGAACGAGGTTGTACGCATGGCGCTTGTGTGTGTTGAGAGAAGGGAGGGGTGAGTGAGGAGAAAATTGGACACACCGGGATCTTCGTATTTCAGCAACTAACACTAATTCTACTTTCAGGTAATTTGATTTTGCAAGTGAGTGTTAAATTCTTATTAAAAAAACTAAATATAGTCAAATCATCGTCATTATCGTCACCGTGTTTGTTGTTAATGCTGTTGTTGTTGTTGTTGTTTTTCGTGACTTTTTCAGGCTTCAACCCATGAAGAAGAATTAATTAAATTGATGTTACTTTAGAAAGAGAAAATCAGTAAGGAAAGGCAGATACTCAAAAATTTAACTCTTTAACCAGTCTAAACATTAAAACTTCTCATCAAGAAGCTTAAAAGATGCAGCTAATTACCTTTCGAACATTTTGAATAGAAAACATTAATTTGAATAACATTGTTTCGCGGTGCGTGCGCACGAGGGCATGAAATTCCGATCATCTCCGTGCAGTTCATTAATTAAAATTGCTTATTCAATTCATCATTAATATTCATTAAACCACCCTCATTTTTTTCTCGTTTGCCTCGAGGAAAGAGCAGGAACACCGAATGACGAAATAAGTCAAATTTGAGCGCCATTTTTGAATTTTGCTGAAGCAAAGGGATCCTCATAAAAGATAGCTTTAATTGATTTGAGGCCTCGCCTGTCTTCCTTATGCCGATATATGGATATGAGCAAGATTTTCTTTTGAAACGATCCAGGCATTTGAACACAAGGACGGCGGTTTACGTTGAAGCAGTCACAACTCGCTGAAAGCAACTCATTTTATTTGAGGTAAGGAAAGAACGATTTATCTCAGTCATATAATGTTATGGTTTGAAATAAAGGAACGTATAGTAGCTTTCGAACGTATCTCACAGTATTCTTTAGCAACGTGAGGTAGGTTTGAAAGCTTAGTTGCTTAGTTGCGTTTTAACATCCCGAGACCCGGGTTTAAATTAAAAAATAATAGACCTTGTGAATAGTACTGTTGTGTA